CGTGAATAACTCAAACAAAATAAAAAACCCAAAAAAATAATAATATTGATGTTGTTGACAGTAATATTATTGTGTTTACAGTTATTTTACTGTCAACGACAGTAATATAATTACGTTGACTTGTCAACAAATCAAACAACAAAAAAAAAATTTAATAATAATAATATTACATTAATTTATTGTCAACGGCAGCACAATTACATAAATGTATTGTCAACGGCAGTACAATTGACAGTATAATTACGTTAATTTACTGTCAGTGATAGCACAATTACGGTCAACGTTTAGCGGCGGACGTAAAAAAAAAAAAAAAAAAAAAGAAAAGAAAAACCAACCGAACAAAAAAAAAACTTTAAAAAACACTAAAAAAAGTCAACGCCGGAAACCGGCGAAAAAATCCGGAAGAAAAGAAAAGAAAAAAGCGAAAAAAAAAAATCAACGCCGGAAACCGGCGAAAAAATCCGAAAGAAAAAAAAAACAAAAAAAAATTTGAAAAGTCAACGCCGGAATCCGGCAGCCAAAAAAAAAATTTTGAATTTTTTTTTTTTGAAAAAAAATGTTTTGGGTCAAAATTGAATAATCTGTGAATTTGAGGTCAAATTGAGATTAAATTAAGTTAAGGATGAAATTGGAGCATATTAAAGTATGCTCCAAAAAAAAGTCAAAATTGAAATTTTGTGGTCAAAATTGGATTTTTGTGGACAAAATTGATTAAATTGGGGTTACAATTAAGAATTGAGTATAAATGGTGGAGGGTAATATTGGCATATACATGAATGTTTTCTTTATTTATAATAAATATTAAAGGGATGGGCTTATTGGTGAAAGAGATATAGCCCCTTAATCTAGAATAATAAATATACTTTGTTGGGGACTTATTCACAAAAACCCCTAATTTTTATTCGAATTGTTAATAATTTTTTAGGAGTAGCAAATAAATGGAAAAATGTATCAACACTTATAGAAGTTAGGTGATTTGATTAATGAGTCTATTAGCGAGAACCCCCTCGTTGTTTTTTAAATAGAACTAGATCCACTTTGTTATTCGCATTTTAGAGATCCCTTTAACTTCTTATAATCTTATTTAACCCTTACATTATTCCAATTCCCCACTCCTCGTACCCACTACCTATATTTTTTTTTCTACCTTTTTTTTAAGGGTAAATTACAAACACCCCCCTGAGGTATGGTCAAATTACAAAAACACCCCTCTTGTTTGGATAATTACAATCACCCCCTCAGCTCTTCAAATTTAGTGGAATCTTCGAGATTATATGAAATATTATCACTTTTGTACCCGTTTTATACCATTCAAACTCTACATTATGAAGTAAGATGATCATAATATGTGATTTTTAGCTTGTGTATATCAGTTTGTAGTGCATCGGAAACTGTATTTTTACACAAAACGAATACAAACTAGAGCACATTCCACGGAATCTAGATGATTATATTGAATTCGGCACAATAAGGGTGGAGATGTAAGAAAAAATCATAGTTGAGGGGGGTAGATGTAATTATCCAAACAAGAGGGGGGGTTTTGTAATTTCACCATACCTCAGGGGGGTTTTTGTAATTTACCCTTTTTTTAATAAATTTATTTTTTAATAAATTCATTTTTAATAAATTCGTCATTTTTTCTCCTGGCAAATTTGCCACACAACGTAAACAACTACAAATAACAATAATCAACTACGAAATTCTAATACGACTACAATTTATAACAATAACAACTATAAAAACACCTCAATCCAACTACAAATTTTAACAACCAACTACAAACTACAATTTATAGTAATCCACTGCAATTTATCGAAAACAACTACAAAATCTTCAAACCAACTACAAAATCATCGAAACCAACTACAATATATCGAAATCAACTACAATATTATCGAAACCTACTATGAAAAATATCAAAATCAACTATAAATCAATGAAACCAACCAAAACAAATTTGTAATTTGGCACGGCGTCGGAACTAGACTGCCCATTTTCCGTCTCCAGAAGCAACTAAATGAAATTCGTAATATCAGCAAAACCCCATGGCGTTTCAAGTACAACGATGAGCCGCCGCAAAGGCTCCTCCACCGCCATTCCCCAATTCACAGGGCCGGCCCTGGACCAGGGCGAGCGGGGCCCAGGCCCAGGGCCCATTTGTTAGTGGGGCCCAGAATTTTTAAATTTTATTATAGTGTATTTTGTGAATGTATTTAATTTCTGTTTTTTTTATTTCTTAAACCTGCGGTATTTTGCTTCTTTAAGGAGAAAGGCTTGTTTTTTCTTTTTTCTTTTAAATCATTTTTGACTTTTCAACTTTCTTTCTCTCGCTATTTTTTTTATTCATTTATATATTTTTATTCCAATTTTATTGTTCTCTCAGTTAAACCCCTACATCTTTTTCTATTTATGTTTTTCTACAATTTGTGTCTTAATTCTTAATTTTTCATCATTACTGTTTTTTTTTCCTAACATTGATTTAATTTCACTTTCACCCTTTAAATGGAGCATTTTGACACTTTACACCCTTGAAAAATAATAATAGCACATTGCATCCTCAAAACACAATAAGTCATTCATAATGCACCATGAATTGAATAATAAAACATTTTTTTTCCGGGGTGCAAAATAACTAATTAAATTGTTATTTTCTTTAATCTCCGGCTTAATTTCAAGCACACGAAGTGCGAAAAAATAAAAACCACACCGGATTATTGAAACAGACTATATTTTTTTTCTAAAAAAATAAAAAAAATTATCACTATATTATTCGATTGATGGATCTTTTATTGTAATTGGTCAAAATATTAGGTAGAAATATTTGGAAGAAAATATGATTTTTAGATAACTTGATAACGAAACAGTTGAAGCATTGTTTTCGTAAAATATTTTATTTTGATAAAAATATAATTTTTAAATACCACTTAAAATATCAAATTGCATTTACTAGCTTTTAAAATTTTATTTGGATTGCACTATGCATGATATATTGTGTTTAGATGATGCAGAGTGTAGTTAACTTATTTTGAGGATGCAAAGTGACAAAATGGTACATTTCAAGGGTGCAAAGTGAGATTAAGCCCCGAGCGTTACACTAGTTTTGTAAAGTAATCATTTTATTTCTAATATAATTTTATTATTAAATATATTTATATTTTACATATTTTTCAAAAAAATCGGAATGTTGCTCCCGAACCCTATATTTAGGGCCACAATTTTAAGTTTTGCCCAGGGCCCCGAAATACCACGGACCGGCCCTGCCAATTCAACAACCTCCTCCTCCTCCTCCAATCAGAGACTATGAATAAACGTAAATAAACTATTCTAATACCTGGACGAAGTATCAACAGTTGTGACTGAAACACGGTCCGGGTACAAGTCCTCGGGAAGCCCGGTGGGCGGCATCACTGTAGGAACATTGGTCAAGAAGCTCTCGGCGGCGTAACTATTAAACTCGATTTCCTCGTCTTAGCGTCGCCGGCAACTACAATCTAACGGCATTTCCGGCCGCACTGGAACAGCTGAAGCACGCGCCGACGCCAGAGAGAGAGAACAGAGAAGATAGAGAGAAAGAGAACAAAGATAATAAAGAGAAGGTTGCAAATGACGTGATATGTTTTGGGTACTGTTCTTGGTGAAAAATATATGTGTTATAAGGATATGATAGACATATCAATAGCATTAAGATTTAAGATAATTATAAAAGAAGGTCTTGCTAAAGGGAAAAAAAAAAATTTGGACCCATACTTTAGATAAATGTGTTTTGATGGGTTCTCCCTAATTAACCCTTGATTAATTTATGCTTTTTGTTTAGTATATGATTTTTATTGGAACTTGTACGATCATATTTGTAGGAATATTATTATTATTATTTTTTTTTTTTTGATAATTTAAATTTCACGACTATTATTTTAATATTGTGTAATTTTCTTTTTAATACAATTTAATTACCATATATTTAAATTTTCTTCATTTTCGCAATGCTACCCGTGGAGTGTTGCTAGTTATGAGCAATTAAATGTGTTAAAAAACGCCCTATTTAGGCAATATTTCGGTTGGTTTGGAATATATTGTCAAAAAAACCCCATGTTTCTTTAGACACAGATGAAACCATAACCCCTATACAAGAATATGTTTAGGCTGCGGCTATATGCAATACTAATTCCACTTGTGCAAGATCAAATTAAAGAAAGATTTCCAAAAGATTCCATTTTATTAAGATGAAATGACAAATATACCCATAAATTAAATTGTCTTTTGTTTGCTCATGCAAGACCAAATAACAAATAATAAAAAAATATGAAACAACTAATTTTCGACATTAAGGTGTCGAATATATGTCCATAAATTCGACACCTTAATGTCGAAATTTAGTATATTTGGACTAATTTGCTAATAGTTAAATTTCGAAACTAAGGTGTCGATTTTTGTACTCCAAAATCGACATCTCAATGTCGATTTTTACCTATAAAATTCGACATGTACATGTCGACTGTGTCTGCGTGGAATTTTAAAAAAAAAAAATATGAAACAACTAAATTTCGACATTAAGGTGTCGAATATATGTCCATAAATTCGACACCTCAATGTCGAAATTTAGTATATTTGGACTACTTTGCTAACAATTAAATTTCGACACTAAGGTGTCGATTTTGTACTAAAAAATCGACATCTCAATGTCGATTGCGTCTGCGCGATATTTTTTTTGGGAAAACGATATTCTAGCTAAAAAAACACATAAATGCATATTTTCTTTGGTTTTTCCACCGTAGATTCTTCTATTTTGATGTCTTCTGACTCCATACTTACCATCTTTGTAAGATTTGTTGAGTTTGAATGTTTAGGTTTTGTGGGTTTATAGATGAGGAAGGAGAAAGGTTTTGATGGAGAAGATGAGAGTTGGTCTTGTGGTTTTATGATAGGGTTTTTTTTTTTTTTTTTGAGTTTTTGGTATTGCACATTTGGAATTTTCTATTTTTTTAACAAATAAGGGTATTATAGTATTTATACATTAAAAAATTTAATTTGATCTTGCACAAGTGGAGTTAGTCTTGCATATAGCCGCAGCCATATGTTTATTGAGACTGTAATTACATGAGATAGGAAATGAGGGATCAAAACTACAATTACCAACCCATTATCATCCGAAAAGAAGAAAAAAAAAAAAAAAAAAAAAAAAAACGAAACAAACACCTCAAGAATCGTCGAAAATAAAAGTATATAGGCATCGTGGTATGATCACCATGAAATCCATTCTCAAGTTTCCGGTATAGCTGTTAATGATTCCTGGTAAAAATAGACAACAAACATATATAGTATGAGTTCAAATTTATCGGAGAGAGTTGTATCGACGATCAGTTCAACCGATTAAAACAAACATACCCTGGAATAATGCAAGTCACGACGCTGCATTGTTGTAGTTTTTACAATAGTTTCCCACTTCATATTACTTGCAGGACAATCCTCAGAAACCACCTGGTTTTGAGGTTTTGCAGTTGCACCGATATACGAACTCAGCGAAGAATTCTTTGCGGAAATTGAAGGCAATGTGCGCCAAAGCCAAGAATCCGATGGAGATTTAGGTAAAGGCGGAGGAATAGGGAGTTGAGAGTAATTTCGATACGAGTTCCCCACAGTTATTGCTCTTGATAGCTCCTTTTCGAAACTCTCTGTTTCTTCTTTTTCCGTCACTTGTATCTCTTTTGTAACCGTTGAGCTAAAACCATGACTTTGATTTTGCTTATCGATCGATGATAAAATATTGGAAGTGTTGGACTTGTTGAAATCCTCAAGATATAAATCTATTGCATTCATTTGAGCCATCCTCTTAGTAACGGTGTCGTGATCTTCTTTTCTTGAAATAGAAACGTGTTTAGTGTCTTGTGTAGTGAGAGAAGAAGACGTCAAATTATTTGGCGATTCGACACTCCGTATAGTATCTACATAGAGAGTCTTCTCGGTAACAGGAAATCCTGAATTCGACTCCTTTGGATCAGCCAATAATTCCTCAAAGGTTGTTAGGCCTCCGCCCTTTTTACGCATTGTTTCTTCAGAAATGGCAACCATTTCTTTTTCTTCTTCGATAAAAGTTTCTAATTGACCACTGTCGTTTCTCGATTTAGTCTTTTCCTCATTAAGTGCAGCGCGAGTTATGTCTATTGATTTGATCTCCGTTCTATTAGACCTTGACTGCTCAAATGAAAAAAAAACAAAGTTATTGAAAAATGCATTGGCTAATTAGTTCATACGAGCTTAAAACCACGAGCTGTTACCTGAATCTCAGTTTCGCCGTAAGAACCAGACGATGAAGATTTGGGTTGTACTTTATTACGAGAAGAAATTGGCACTCGTGTTCTTACACTAATAGCAGGAACAGGATTTAAAAGGCCGCCGAACGAACTCTTTAAGCAAAAACGGGGAATTAAACCACACACTCCCATAGCATTAGCACGTTGATCATACTCATCGTCACTCTCTTCTTCCTCTTGTTCTTCTTCACTTTCTTGGTAATGTAAATACCGTTTTGCAAAGCTAGGCCCGTAACGAAGTGAAGGCTTATGTTGATGATTTACAATCTTCTTTATCTGATTCTGCTGTTGATGTTGTTCTTGAACGGCGTTTTGCTTTTGGGCTTCTTTATTATATTGTGGGGTTTCTAAAGTCATTGCCTTTGCAGCAGGAAGAAACCTATCCATCATCAATTCACGAGCTTGCGGATCAGTCGAAAACCTTCCGGAAGGTTTAACATCCAAATCATCCAATCCACTAAGGCCGCTCATACTGCAGTTCAAGAAAAATGATTCCGTTCTCGAGAGTGTATCGAGTGCATCTACGTATGTCTCCGAATCACAACTCTCCTTCTCGTCTTCTTCTTCGTCTTCTCTCTCTTGACTTCTCTCTAACTTTTCGACAATAGCATCTCGTCTGTTAGCATCGTTCGTAATTGGAGAGACATTATTATCATTACAAATATCATGTGGATTATTGGGCTTTGGATTTCTACCGGGAGGAAGCTTAGGGGCAAGCGGAGGTCTATCGGAGTTTCGTGTTTTTGGTTTAGTCTCTTGTTTAGGTTGTCCGGGTGTTTGTTCCCATATAAATGGAACGGCTCCGGGATTTCTAATCGGACCCGATTTCAGTTCTGATTTGTGAGAGGGAAGCTGAGGTATAACGCTGGCCGCACTGCGAGAATTGTTATTGGTTGTTTTTGTTTCGTCACTTGTTCTTGGAGTTACGTTTGGGGAATAATTTCTTCTTACGGATAAAAATGGTCGGTTGAAATTCAGCTTTTTTTCCTCCATGAGATGATATTCTTCAAACAGCACCAACTACTGATACCTGTGTAAATAAATTATCAATACCATTATGTCACGAGTTGTAATCGTAACACCTCGATAATCCTTAAATTTCCTAGCTTAGACTTCATCCATATAACTAACTACAAACGCGGAAAATATATCGATTCTCAACAAATGCTACAATCCAAGAAATGCGAAAACGAGAACACAGTCAAAACTTAAAAGATAATTACTTGATACAATTTACGCCATCCGTTAACATTTCATAAAAAAGAAAAACGGCACGCTGCAAGCAAATAAACACGAAAGTTGCTTCTGATATCATCACATTCACACACACAACACCCGAAAACATACACACACACAATGTAAAAAAAATCGAAAGCGAGAGAGAAAATCATATCCACAAGAAATAAGTGGCTAATCTTTAATGTGATTTTGGTCTCTGTATATATGATTTCCACATTAATACTTGCCCAATAATAAATTATATATCTCAATTGTCTAGCCAACACGAATCAATCCAAGCATTAATTCTAAAGGTTGCAACAGGAATCAAATAACTATATATATTCTTTTAGGTAATTAAGTAACGAATACAAATTTCAGATTTTAAGCTATAGAATATATAATTACAACCCAGAACTGATCTAAATCTACTCCATATATATATATATATATATATATATATATATATATA